TTAAGATATCCAGCAACCTTGTCTCTATGGCATGATAAGAGCACATTTACCCAGTCACTGAGAGAATAGTTGAAGACAGGTCACCCATAATTACAATATTTTCTGTTTGCCTCCTTCACCATCTTGAGATCACATCCTTCCCTGTCCTGTCTATAGTATTTTTATCCAGGGATAACTGTATCCCATTGATTTAACCCATTCCACCATGTTTCTGAAATGCCTGCTATATTTATGTTATTTAAACACCAAGCACTCCAGCTTCCCCATCTTGGCTTGCAGACTTCTAGTACTGGCATGTAGACACCTGTATCTTGTTTCCGTTTCCAGGATCTTTGCCCCCTACTGCTCTTCTCAAATACCTATCAATGGCTGCAGTCACACACACTAAATGATTAATATTAACATCACTGAGCACTTTAACTTTGATAAAATGGTTGTTTTTATGTGTTTTAATGTTTTATACTTGGCACACGGTGCCCTTGTTTGTTAGCCGCCCTGAGCCCGTTCGCGGGGAGGGTGGGATAAAAATATAATAAATAAATAAATAATCCACTTTCAATGCATTTTCCAACTCTGCCAGTTCACACAGTAAAAATCCAGTTGAAAAGTGAACTGTGGATTATTTAGTGTGTGTGACCACAGCCAATTACTGCCCTATTCTTATTGTCAAGTTTTAGCCTGCTTCTGCAAAGACTACCTTGAACCTCCAATTAGTAATGTAGTTGAAATTTATCTCGATATCACTTCTGCTCCTTATTTGGCATAATATACACTCTCATTCTCATTAGATTTCCTAACTGTATTCTAGCTTTAATTTGTCATTCAGTACATGCTGTCAATAATTCAATACACCTTTGCACAATTATCCAATTTACAGGATAGCTTTTGTCAGAACAAAACCTCCCACAGTTAAAGAAATAGAATAAGTACATTCACTGTGTTATTGTGCAAGACGCATGAAACAAATTTAAGAATACACCACGCCTTGTGGCAGCCACATCTCACCTGTATCAGTTTCTGTGGCCTACAGTTTACAAAACATTTAACATGGAGAAGATCACATCTGACCTTTGACCACTGCAAATAAACAGATCAGTGTATGCATTTACAATTGAAGACGCCATCCATTCTGTGACCAAACTAACATTCAAACCCTCATTCAATTATGTTTACAAAACTACAGTTTACAAAACATTTAACATGGAGAAGATCACATCTGACCTTTGACCACTGCAAATAAACAGATCAATGTATGCATTTACAATTGAAGATGCCATCCATTCTGTGACCAAACTAACATTCAAACCCTCATTCAGTGATGTAACCAAGGGCACCTCTGAAAAATTAGACAAACCTAATTAACTGGATAAAGCAACACAGGCTCTTATGAAAGGAAGTATAAATTAAATTGTTTGAAGGACCAGTTCTTAAATTTTGCACCTTTCAAAGGGACAAAACTGAAGCAAAATGAGAAGATGGGAAGATACGCTATGAAACCTTCCAATGACTGAAGCAACAACTGAAGATTACATCCATTCTGTGACATTTCCCACCACATCTTAAGCATTTAGAGACATACTACTGACTGTTCTGAACAGTACATCTGTAAATACATAAGATGTGGCAGGAAAAGGAAGAAGGGAAAAGCAGAGGCAACGCATATATATATGATAAAAACAAAAATACATTCAAAGAGCCAGCCAAAGGAAGAAAATGTAATGGAGCAAAGACCATAATCAACTTCAGATTGAAGACAACTTCAATGACAACTATGTCTATGTAATGTAGACACAGGAAACCACATACCTGGATATCTTATTTCATGTATGTGTACTGGAAAGGTTTACTATTTGCACACGTTGTAAGAGTTTTTGGAGGGCTACAGCTATAACAGTACCACTCATGCACAGGTATTCCCATTGATATCAAAAGCACAGAACGACACAGTTACAGTCTATATGTCACATTTGGTATTTAAGCTAGTAATTCAGTTGATGACACTGAGCACATTTTCTTAAATTAAGAAAGGTTATGGAATTATGGTCGCTATGGAAATACCACTTAAACCACATTCCCAGAACATGTTCTCCCGCTCCCCACAGAAAAATCTACAGGCTCTTGCCATATAACGTGGCTCCATCTCATAGTGAGCATCACTACAACTACTGATACAGAGAAGAGGCCAGGGATATTCACCCCATAACTGTATTCTGTTAGATATGTATACACCCCTTTTCTCTCCAACAGGCCTCACCATAATATTTTCCCCCTCCTTCATTTTATCTTCATAAAAACAGGTTAGGCAGTGTGTGTGAGACTGGCCCAAGGTCACCCAGCAAGCTTCCAATGGCAGAGTGGAGATCTGAACCCAGGTCTCCCTGATTCTACTCTGACACTCAGACTGGGCTATCACCAAAACATACAGTGAGCGCCTGTTAATTTTACAGCGGGATGGGAAAGAATTTTCTCCAACAGTTACATTTTCTCAGTCATATTCCCCTGAGCGAATGTACTGCACATGTGCAAAGAAAGGTATAACTCTGCTTAGGAATGCTCTGGTAATGTAAGAGCTTTCCTATGAGCTCTTACCTGCCACTGATGTTAACAGGATATACATCCGGACAAATGTACTCTGTATTCTGACGCAAACTGACGATGAAATTTTGCATCAATTTACCTTTGAAGCGAAACGAAAACTACGTCAGGCAACATCATTTCTGTTTAATTCCGTTCCCTCATAAATGCCTCTGTAGCCTCTGAAAGTCAAGGTCATATTATTTTGACAAAACTACAGTTAAATTAGGGTAAGTATGGATATGGGAGCAAAGGACAGTTGTTATATAAGAGAACTATTTTGGTCCAATCCAAAGAGGGCTATATTATGAAGAAATGGCTTAATCTTTGACCCAGTAACATCCTGCTAGTTACAGAACAACAAGTCTATTAATCATGCAGTGAAATGTTAGTGCCACCAAGATTCTACTACTGCAGACCATATTTGGTAGGCAGATTAACAACCGTTTTCTTGCACTTTTAACAATGTCAGTACCTTATGTAGCAGACAGTGTTCCCTCTAAGCTGAGTTAGTGTGAGCTGGCTCACAGTTTTTTAGCCTCCGGCTCACACGCTTTTGTCTTAGCTCAGGAAGGATGGCTCCAGAGCGAACTAATTTATGCAGTAGCCAAATAGCTTGCTCACAATTCTAATGCAAGTAGCTCACAAAGTGGAATTTTTGCTCATAGGACTCCACAGCTTAGAGGGAGCATTGGTGACAGATAAACTACATGTAATTCTTTCTGGAGTCCATTCAAGGAGGACTACGTGGACGCAACCTCTGAAGAGGCTTAGTTACTTTTCCTTACTGTCAATGGTAAAATAAAACAGTTACGCTGCAGTTTGCTGTTCGACCTTGGAGATCTGTTTCACTGTGGAAAGCACAAATGAGCTCTTCTTCTTGCTTTATTTACTATTTGTTAAGAGTCACGCAGAATGGTTAATAGTCAACAGACCAACAGTGTCAAGTGGCATCGTGACAGTCTGATTGGAAAATTAAATTTAGAAGGAAGAAAGCATTTAAGAGCCCTCTGGCTGCACATCAGCACTTCTGGCCAGGATGAGACTCTTAAAGCTTTATTTTTAGCAATATGAAAGAAAAATTAATTGTTTCACACCACCGCTAGCCAATTAAAAGCACCAACTCATTTGTGAAATCTAGCAGAGAAGCCAGAGATGGATACCTTAATGGTAATCGGCATGCCAACTTAACAAGATACGATTCCTCTCCCTCTCATCAAAATGCATTCAAATTATGAAACGGAAGTGGAAAATATCCCAGTGTTTTTTTTTATTACAAAGGAAGGAAAAACCAAGCTTTTAAAACTCCATTTTCATTGCATTTCCACCAAGTTAAGTTACATAACGTCATTCCCTAATGCCAGTCCTGGGTGTTTAAGCTGCATCTGGAGGTTTTATCACAGGCGGCATCAGATTACAACTTTGTAAGCATGCACACGCAGTTCCTTTTTATCATTATATGGAAAGAAGTATCACTTCCCAATGCTCAGGCTTTTCTGATGACATAGTTAATGCAGAGAGAGAGAGGCTGCCTCCCGCTATGCAGGAAACACACATCTTGACTGCAAAGCACACACACACACACAAAATCCCTTTTGCATTGGGATTTTGTTTTAATGCAACTTAAGAAACGCGGATGCTGCCTGGCTTAAACGAAAACGTCTCCCCCGCTTAAATAAAACTGCTGAGCAAAAAAAAACCCAAAACCGCCACACTTTCAACAGCATCTCTTTAACGCTACTAGTTTGGGAATGCCCAACTGACAGACATGATTGTGCAAACCGGAGTGGGGAAATACCGGCATGCCTCTGCCGGTGCGCGCACACCACACACATGCACACAAGAGCCACGCAGGACCACGACCACCACACACACTCCACTCGGGAGAATGTGCTCCCCAACACAGCCATGCCTCTCTTAGGAGCCTATGCATGCATCTTTGGCCTTAGGGATGCAGCCGAGGGCCTGGGCGCGCTCGCCACGACCCGTCTGTCCCACACTCCTCCCCAGCCGGGGAAGAGAGCCATCTCTTTGGCCTGGGTGCAATTTCTGTCCCAGCCCGGCGACACGCAGCCATTGTCGCCTGTGGCCCGTATAGGCGTCCATTGTAGCACGCAACACCCCCACCACCCCCGGCTTTCAAGCCGACGCCGGGCAACTTGACAGGGGGGGGCCTCCTTACCGGCTCTGTGGCGTCGCTTCTGTGCCATGCCTCAGTGCCTCCCTGGCCAGCTGCAACCGGCCGGCGCTCTGACAGAGGCTGGAAGTGGCGAGGAGAGCACTGGGCGGCTGCAGCGGCTGCATCCCCCCCCCCCACCTCCTCCCGGCTGAGGCGCCCCGGACTCTTCCCCAGCCCGTGCCCTCGCCTCGAACGCGGCACGGAAGGAGAGGACACAGAGCCCGGGCGAAAAGAGGAGGGAACCTACCTCTTCCCCCACCCGGGCGCGCTGCAGCAGAGCCGGAGGATGCGGGCGCCGGAGAGGGATGAGGCAGCCAGAGCAAGCGGCTCCTCCTCCCGCTTGCCTTAGAAGGGAAGAATGTGGCGTCGGTGGCTCTCCCCTGCCAGAGGGGGCCGAAGGGCGCGCGCGAAGCTGGCGGCGCGGCTGGTGGCGGCGACGGGGGGGGGTCCTCCGCCTCCGCCGCCTCCTCTTCCCCCTCCCTGGCTGTGCAGTCAGTCTCGCCTTCCCTCGACGGCTGCCGGGCGCTCCTCCCTCGCAGCACCTAGCAGGCGGACCGGCCTGTACCAAGACCCGGAAGCCCGGTGGAGTGGGATTCAGTGCCAAGTCATTCCCCCTCAGGGGCTGGGGAGGCGGAGGCGGCGGCCGCGCTCCAGGCCCTCTCAGTCCCCGCTAAGAAGATGCAAAGCAACACCCGCCTCCCTGCTGCGCCTGCATGAAGGATATCCAGAATGAAAAAAAACCCGCCCCTCCATCCTAAAAAAAAAGGGACTTTTGCCCTTCCTTTTGGAACGATGCCCCTTCGTCCAAAGCCACACTTCAGTTGTATTTTAATATGTGTGCATGCATCCTTTTAGAAACACATGCATGCATTCTATGTTAATCTGTTGAACAAAAAAGAATAGTAATAAATTATTTCATCATGATTTTAGTGGACTGGAGCTCACTTTGGATGAAGATGCAGTTCTAGTCCACAGAAGCTTGTACTGGAATTAAATAAAATTAAATAATGGAATTATTATTTTTTAAAATTGCTAGCCTTCAAGGTTCATTTTGTGTGCGTATGTATATGTATATATCAGAAATATATGTAGGTATATTTTTTATTTATTTAGAATATGTTTATTCCTCTTCTGGGGAAAGAATCGTGCACAATTCAGTTGATTAAATAAAATGATAACATTCTGATAATAAAATGCGCAGCATTCCAAAATAATAGTAACCAATAAATGCTGCTATACAAATTTACAAACAGGTCATAGAGAAGGGGTTAAAACATCAAAAAATGAATAAAAGCTTATCTAAAAGCCTGGGTGAAGAGAAATATTTTTACTGGGTGCCAATAAAGGTAGCTTCTGGTAGTGGAGAGAATGTATGTAGAACCTACATACACATCTATAAATATCAGGTACAGGTGTGGAGCTATGTCAATTTTTTTGACAGTTTAAGGCAGGTTGGGGTGTCGAACTCATTTGTTATGAGGGCCAGATCTGACATAAATGAGACCTTGTTGGGCCAAGCCATGTGTGTCATAAAATGTAATGCCAGGTCACGGAGATAGGGTTTTTTTAACTTAAAATAAAGAGTTTTTTACTTAAAATAAAAACATGCTTAAAACATTAGCACTCTTGCAATATTTTCTTTATTTAACAATGTCTGATAACTGGACACCTCTTGCTCTGAATTATTGCGTCAAAATATGTGCTGCTGCAATCTTGAGTATGCTGTTCAGTTGTACGTAAAAACCCTATGATGACCCAGCAGCAGCAGAACTGGAAGAAGAAGCAGAAGACAGCCAGTTCCACTGCGGGCCTGATAGAAGTCCTCCAGGGGCCTGATCCGGCCCCCGGGCCGCATGTTTAAGGCATGCATGTGCTTCCCCTCTCCAGTAATGGCTATACATGTCTGTTATTACTGGAAATGTTTGATCTGGAAACCCTAAACTGAATGGGTTGCCTACGCTGAGTGGCCTGAGAACTGAATGGCTGCTCAAGTAGAAGCTACTAGAGTCAGCACTTAACCAGTGGGAATGCCCACCAAAAGAATCAGTACAACATGGGCCCAGAATGGTCCACTGATATTATACCTCTGGAGGTACCAGGCCCATAGTGAGACTTTTTTTGTGTGAAGGGCCAAAGGTAGCTTCTGGTAGTGGAGGGTTGTCGCTCACTATTACAACACTAGTACTACACTATTACAATAGTCTCTCACTATTACAATTGATCTCCAGACTACCAAAATCAGTTCACCTGAAGAAAATGCTTTGGAGGGTGGACTCTATGGTATTATACTCTGCTGAGGTATACCCTCTCCAAACCCTACCCACCCTAGGCTCCACCCCCCAAAATTTCCAGGTATTTCCCAACCCAGAGCTGGCAACTCTAAGGAAGAGGGAAGGGGAAATCAATGCAAAATGCCAGACCCTGAGTAGAAATAGCCTAATAAGAGCCCAGTGCTTGCCGCTTTTTCCAAAGCCTTCATGCTCATTAGCCAGAACACTGGTTTGTTTCTTAGCGAGCAGCTGGATAAAAAGCTGCCTGTTTTCCCCTTCCATCTCCTTAATAAAAGGACTACAGCCTTACTTTTCTATTGAACACAAACTGCAAAATCAAGGCAGGTGTTTGGGATTTTTCTGAGGGACACTACATCCACACACACAACTATGGCAACAACCCTGGCTGGTACGGATTCCATGATCAACGGTGCATGATTTTAACAAGCCTCTACAACATGAACAGACAAGGGACCATCCAAGGGCGGCTATTTTCCCCTGGGGCCAGACCTTCTGTCTGCTCTAATACTTCCCACCTGTCCTATGGCCCAGTTGCATTCACACCAGCTGCTGTTCCACCCTCAGTAGCTCAAGTTGTCATCTCTTTTTGTAAGAACATAAAAATGCATTGCTTAACTTCTCTGTAAGTGCTCAGACTTGGGCTAAAAGAGAGAAGCATATTTAATTACCCTCAACTGAATCCACAAGTAGAATAACTCAGCCAATCCCCAGACTATTTGCAAAGCTTCTGAGGAGCGTGCTTGTGTATTCCCTCGCTATTTCGGATTAAGGGAGCTGCACTTCTCGGCTAGAGTGTGATTTCTAGGCAAGCTTCAGTCCCAACATTTTTCATTCTGAACTCTACACACATCAGAAAGTCCATACAACAAGTTAACAGAGATGAAACAATGCTGACGTTTTGCATGCGTGTGTGTGCCTCTAAAGTGCCGTCAAGTCACAGCTGACATATGGCAATCCCAGAAAGGGGCTTTAGAGGCAAGTGAAAAGCAAAGGTGGTCTGCCATTGCCTTCCTCTGCAGAGTCTTCCTTGGTGGTCTCCCTTCCAAGTACTGACCCTGCTTAGCTTCCGAGATCTAATAAGATTGGGCAATACTATGCCTCCTTCCCTCCCATAATTTTGCATAGGATGGTGTAAAGAAAGGCAAGTGAGAAGCAAAGGTGGTGTGCCATTGCCTTCCTCTGCAGAGTCTTCCTTGGTGGTCTCCCTTCCAAGTACTGACCCTGCTTAGCTTCCGAGATCTGATAAGATTGGGCAATATTATGCCTCCTTCCCTCCCATAATTTTGCATAGGACGGTGTAAAGAAAGTTGACAGGCCCAAGTGTAAGAATTATGCACCTTTTTTAGAAGAATCACCTGCAAAGATCTGTACAGCTCGACTGTATGCTTTTTTAAAAACACAGATCCCACTGAGTTGAGTAGGGCTTGCTCCAAAGTAGCTATAAGTGGAACTGAATCCTTAAGCTACTTGGTGAAAAAGACAGCCTGCCACATAGCACTGAGCGAAATGGTGGCGCCACTAAGAAGGAGATGGCCTCATGAAAGCTTCAAGTCTTTGCCATGTGCTGTCCTGGAGTTGTTGGGCGCACCATTTACATCCAAAATCAGTGGGATGAAAGGAAAGCACAGCAAGTGGCAGTGGGGAAGAGAACCTGGAGGTCCCAACTCTGTGATTCTATGAATTATATCACCCAGTGAAGAAAACAGAGTAAAATCAAAATGCAAACTGGTACATTTTTGAAGGGATATGGATTATGAAAATTGGGCACTTTATTCCTGTTCATAGTGGATTGGGTGGGAATAAAAGGGGTAGAGGGAATCCTTGACTTTTCCTAGAGCCCCAGAATCACTAAGATTGCACAGTCCATGCCAGTAACAAACTATCCCACGTTATGGCATATGAGATCAGGAAAGAACAAGGTAGACTTCGTAAAACAGGAGGTAGTAGGATGCATTATATTTGATAAACCCCAGAATGCTCAGCAAAGTGAACCATGCCACACATTGTAGGGGAAGGAAAATCAGAGTCCCATGATTATTATGTCTGCAATCTTTATCCTTACAACTTAAACCAGTACAGTAAAAACAGTATAATACATATGGCCAACAAAAGTAGAGAACATCACACGCAGAGAGATTGTAATACTGATGGCAAAGTAGGAATTACAAGATTGGAGAACAACACAGTGAACTCTGTGATTCTATGAATTATATCACCCAGTGAAGAAAACAGAGTAAAATCAAAATGCAAACTGGTACAATTTTGAAGGGACATGGATTATGAAAATTGGGCACTTTTTATTCCTGTTCATAGTGGATTGGGTGGGAATAAAAGGGGTAGGGGGAATCCTTGACTTTTCCTAGAGCCCCAGAATCACTAAGATTGCACAGTCAGTGCCAGTAACAAACTATCACACGTTATGGCATATGAGATCAGGAAAGAACAAGGTAGACTTTGTAAAACAGGAGGCAGCAGGATGCACTGTGTTTGATAAACCCCAGACTGCTCAGCAAAGGGAACCATGCCACACATTGTAGGGGAAGGAAAATCAGAGTCCCATGATTATTATGTCTGCAATCTTTATCCTTACAACTTAAACCAGTACAGTAAAAACAGTATAATACATATGACCAACAAAAGTGGAGAACATCACACAGAGAGAGATTGTAATACTAATGGCAAAGTAGGAATTACAAGATTGAAGAACAACACAGTGGAATACATTACATACAATAAACACAGCTAGATTACAGCATTAGAGAACAACACAAAATGAACAAATCAGCATAACAACATACAATGAAGACTATCTTAAATTTCACAGACATTAACTACAACCCCATTCACCCTATAAGAGTGCTCTCCTGAACAGCGCGACCCCTCAAGGTCTGCAAAATGAGTTATTAAGTTTGGTGTTGTGGTAAAGAGCAGCAGACTCTAATCTGGAGAACCAGGTTTGATTCCCCACTCCTCCACATGAAGCCAGCTGGGTGACCTTGGGTCAGTCACAGTTCTTTCAGAGCTTTCTCAGCCCCACCTGCCTCTCAAGGTGTCTGTTGTGGAGAGAGGAAGGGAAGGTGATTATA